AATCACCCAAAACGTCGATTCGCTCAAAGTGCTGTATCGCCGATTCTTCCCACTCGCCAGATCGACACCTATACTTTCCTTTCCTCGTCGCACAATCGAATCTCCTCAGTCGCAAACATGAATGGCGCCTCAAAAGCTGAGCAGAATGCAGGGCAGCGCCTGAAAAGCGGAGCGCAGCATAGAAAAGCGTGCAAGAACAATTGTGAGAAGAATGACAAGGATGCAGTAGAATAAGAGAACCGGCGATTCGACTTTCTAGCGAATACACGCTAGGAGAACGCGAGCCGAAGGGGAGGTTTCAGAAGGCTGCGCTTTCTCTGAAACTTCAAGCGGCCAATTCTCCTATTTTGAAGCTAAGTCAGTCGATTCCCTTCCAAGCCTTCCAGGCACATTCTACCGTACTGTCACAGCATACAGCCGTGTCCGCTGCGGATGCTGGGGCGTACCAGGGGGGGGGAGGCTGAGTTTGGCTCGGCGCCAGCCCGTTTTCCACCAATCGTCGTCGCTTGCTCACTTCTACAACTGGTGGAGAAAGCGACAGCTCCCTGACACGCCCCAGCAGCTAACAAGACTGTACGAACGCGATCTCAGGACCTCTACAGATAGCCTACCTCAGTTCCAGCTCCTGATGAAAGCACAAGCGAAGCTGATGGGTTACATACCATCATTTCCTTTGCCTACAAGGTTCATACCATCCTAAATTTCTTAGTTATAGAAAAACTTACAAACATGAAAGAGACGAATATATTACTTTGGATGGGGTCACAACACCGATGTCCATGGCAAGATAATGAGCGATAAGACGGGCACGAGGCAGGCCATCAGTGTCAAATCGCAGTGGTCTCCAGTCCGGGTGTGATTCACTTCGAATACTCTCGTTGATTTCTTTCGCCAACTCCAGGCAACTGTCCTACAATAAAGAACGGTTGGGCACAGAACGTGAACCAATGTGACAACTATTTAAATGTTACAACAGTAATCCACGATCACCTACCTGGTATCTTTTGTACGATTCCACAGCACGCCTATTGGTGACAGCTATTTGATAGAGCACATCTAGACCCTTCCTTTCGGGATGTTTCTCGAAATACCTTGAAATCGACTTGTTGGGAATATTAAAGCATTAATACAAAAAAGAACAAGAAAAATACCTCCTCCACGCTCTAAGCTTTTCCATTATACCCTTTGTGTAATCGAATCTTTCAACCGAGAAGAAGAAGCAACCGCCTTCTCCGCTGTTGGCCAACACCTGATAAATAGAACTACTTATACTCGACACATGGAAACTACAAATTGTATGATAGAAACTAATAGTTGTATGATCCTTATAATTCACTTTATTGAAAGGCGCCATGAGTACCATACTGATTTTCTCATAAGAATCTAAATGCCATTTCATATACACTTGTCACCTAGAAATTTAGCAAGAGTCCGAACTGCGTGCGTGCGTGTGTGCGTGCGTGCATGCGTGCGTGCGTGCCTGCGTGTGTGTGTGATGGGCCGTTTCTCTCATCATAAACCCGGGAAGAGCTGGTAGGACATGATCTGGATGCAATGCAGATCATCCCTATGCATGAAGTTGGGAATATTTTTCGCAGAGAAGGTTCTGGAAAGTGGAAATTTCAGGAGCGATTTTCTACATTCTCTCATCTTGACCCCTACCTCCTGTCTGATGCCGCTGACTTTTATTGGAAAACTGAAAATAGGGTAGGTGAGGTGGAACTTTTTGGGCAGAGAAGGGTGAGAAAGGTCGTACTGGAAACGACGATGGAAGAGCGGTCTCAACGACCAATTTTCCGCATGTTTGGATGCGCTCTGCCTGAACAGTTCAAAAATCCAACGCAGTCCGACTTCGTGGGGAGCACCGAATTATACTCAGCAGAACTAGCGCAGGCCATCTTCTCCAGACCTCTAAATTCCTGTAACCAAGTGGTGGAATTTGTAAGTATTACACCATCTCGCAGCTTCACAGGGGTTTACAGGTCTCACCGAAGTGAAATGTCAATCGAATGACTTCGCAAAAAGAAGTAGTGAACGTGCAAAATGCCTCTCCTAATGCGAGCAGCACCAAGGACCCTCCTGGCTAGCGGTAGTAGGGGACCATGACCAAAATCGACGTTGCGTGCACCATCCACGATGTTAATTTCAGAGGTGTCGCCCAAACGAACCCAGGATAGAAGGACTGAAGTGAAAAATTTTCAGGATTGTGTCTTCCTGAACACTATAGAAATTGTTAATTTTTGTTTTGTGCAGTGAGCTGAGAGTAGGTGATAAACTACCACATCACTGATTAGGAATGGTTCAGAATGCCGGACTAGTTGCTTTGTGAGTTCCATAGAAACCTACTGCGTACTGACGCATGGTAACTTGCGATACACTAAACTGTTTTGAGAAAAAAAGTGGAATGCAAAACACGTACATCCTTCTTGATTTCCTGAGCA